GTTGCAGCCCGAGCTACAAACTGAGAAGAGATGAGCTATGATACTGCAAACGCTGTCGGCTAAGAGGAAGTTGTTGGATAATTTAAAATAGATCCGAATTACTTCTTACGTTTACATGCAACAATGTCCTGTAAATTGGGATAAACTACAGTATTGAACAAGCAATTTAAAAATATTTTACTTTTGTATTTTTTGCAATTTCACAGTCAATTCGTTAGAATCGGATTGTGTTTGTCCCCGTTCAACCCCAGACCCCCGGTCGTGCAGTGGTGTTTCCAGTGGTGGTCTTCTCTCTCTCTCTCATTTCTCTGCAGAGAGAGAGCACTTCAGCCAGAGAACCCCCAAGCGCGTAATTTTTAGCTGCTACGGAATTAAACTTTAATTAGCTACAGTCGATCTAATCAGCCCCCGATGAGGTTTGTCGTTTTAAGAAGCTTCGGACAGACAAACAGAGACAATCGGCTAAAAATAGGAAACTGTGCATGTCCAAAAAAAGAGTAAGGAATACTATGAACGCTTCATGAGTGTTGTTATGACAACCAGGAACCAATATTTGGGTATTCTTCAGTATATGGACTTGGTTTTCAGGAGTTGTTAATGCATATGTGGGCAACTGGACTTTTTTCTTGAAGACGTTTCACCTCTCATCCGTCTCCAGCTCTAACTGACGAGTGGGAGGTTGCACACACGTACTGAAGACACCCTGAACTGGGTAACTAAGAATATTCACTGATGTTTACAGACTTTGATGCACAGATGGATATTAACTGGGAAACAGCCAAAAGTTTCTTCTTTTGTTGTTGTTGTTGTTTTTCCGCAGAATCTACGTTTGCTCTTCAACTTTAACTTGCCTTGGGGAGCGGCTGTGGATCAGGAGGTTTGCTGGATGGTGTTTGAAAAAGCAAAGTGTATCGTAGCACTGTTTGAATGCATGTGTGAATGTGAGTTTGAATGAGAGATTTGAGTGAGTTCCCATCTGAGAGGCAGTTTTTAACTTTTCTTTGTTCATTCGCTTTCCTTAAAGGCTTTAACACAAAAGTTAAGATTGCATATCTCCCACAAACATTGTAGAAGAACAAGCAGAGTTAAATTATAAGGAGGCTATAAATTCGAACACTGTCTCCACTGCGGTGATTGCTAAAGAGATTTTTGCACTAATTTCAGAGTGTGGATGCTAAAAGGCTGAAAGCAACAAAGACAAACAGAAAATCTCTCTCTCCCACTTCACTATAATTTGAGTAACAATTACATGCTCATGAAAAAGACAAAACCAACAGATTAATGAGATGAATCGTGTCGTACTTGGACAAACAAACGTCATAATGGAGGATGTCACTTTTAGGCTGCACCAACAAAATAAGCAAATATCCCAGAGCCCATTGTGCACACTCATTGATCACAAGTCATAATAATAATGGTGAATTTGGGCGTATTACAAAAGCCAGAAGTGGTACTTAAAGCAGAGCTGTTTGGGAGCCAGCTCTTACTGCTGAGCTGAGCCACTTTAAAGAGCCGGGAATTCCCATCACTCGTCCATAAGGCTAGGAAAGCACTTTTCAAATTGCATATTGCCCTTTTTTATGAGAAAACACATAAAATACATCAGTGATGAGGCGTAAGTCTTGGGGAATATATGACTGACATGCTGTACGTACACGCTGGTTCACATGTTACAGGTGCTCACGACAGATAATACAGCTCCCACTACGTCTATGCATCATTGTGTCACTGTCATTCTGTTACTTCTGCAGCACAGCAGCCCCCCGGTTGCCAGAGACAAGGCTAGGGTCTGGATAAATACAGTATTAGCATACATAGTAATGCAAATTGTGCAGTTGCATGAATATTTGAAAGCAATCACTCTATAATGCTGGGCTAGTAATTTATTTTTCTTTACGTTCCATAGCAAGGGGTGAAATGTGGCTGAGCTTGATGATGTCTGTCTCAGGTGACGTGGGAATTCAACCACAGCTCTGTAGCCGACTGGTCCTTGAACATATGGTTGCGTGTGATTAAAGTCATGACCCTTTTCTCAGCAGACAGAACAATTATAAAGCAATGGTGGAACCGAGGGAGGGAATAAAAAGCTAAATTCAACATAAACTAAAGGTCTCTAAAGAGCAGACGCTTCCAAAGGAGAATCTGACAAAACGGCAGCGGCGTTTGATGAGCCAAGCTGTACACTTGAAAGAAATATGCTCCCTGATGGCACGAGCACGCGCAACAAACAACAACTCGCAAAGTGACAGATTCTCCCTCCAAACTGTGTTGACAAGAACGGCGTCGACAAACACGCAAATGCATTGATATTGTGAACGGGTTAATAAGCCGCTATTCTCGTGCGCTCTTTACAAACGCTATTCATCAATGTCTGGTACTGTTCCTCATGTGGGAGTGCTGCGCTGCACCATAAATCTGGTTCCAATCACTTCCCGCACCAAAATATGATGCAATCAAGAGGATGTAGTCATGGGATGTGTGTGTGTGTGTGTGTGTGTGTGTGTGTTACAAGTGAGCACGGCATCAAATTATTTAGTGTGGAACATTTCAAAAGATCAATTCCCTGTGTCACACTGGGCCAATAACTCTGACAGGCTGGATGCCTTCACATATAAAGCCCATTTAATCCACACGTGGGCTAAATGAGTTAAAACCGGGCCTATTAGATGCACACTCGGGGGCATGCTTCCTCTCGCAGGATGTCAATAAGATGTAGTTTACAACACGGCAGATGTAAACAGCCTATTTATAGATATAAGGGCTGCGATAAGAATTAGAGGTGTTTAATAGTGATTTAGTGCGTTTAAAAGAGAGGATGAAGATCATTGATTTCGGAGAATACAGGCGCCATGTGGAGAAAACTATAAAAGACCTCATTCAGTGTCTGGCAGTAACTTATTGATCTTTACCCTTCCTATTTCTGTGAGGACCAACATCCGCATCATGAGCAGGATTCATAGACTTACTGCACGTGATCTATATGTTTGGAGCGAGAGTTTTTCAGAGCTTAAATGACAGCGAATTAATCAAACTGAGGATTTACAGTCAAGTCGTAGAAGAGAGAAAAACAAGATGAGATCTAAACACACAGTGAGTTCTTCAATCACCCAGACCCACGTTCATCACAGCTGAAACCATCCATGTGTGCAGAGCACCCGTTTGGATGCTGCTGCCTAATTGAGATTAAACCGTATTGTATTTCTTGTCACAGGAGGTGAGGAGGAGGATTGTGGGACAATTCTGAAATTGCGCCCCCCCCTGTCCCCCTCCCTCCTCTCTCCTCGCTCCGCAAACTTGTACAATATCAGTATCTGGTCATGCGCCAGTGCGCAGGCTTAAATGAGAGTATTTGGCAGGCCTGCCTGTATTAACGACCCAGGAGGCGTTGGGAGGTTGAAAAGTCACGGCGCTCACAAAAGGAGAGGGGCCTGGATTTCGCTGTGGATTAATCCGCAACACAGGAAACAGTGTGAAGGAGGAGTATTGATGTAACCTCTTCCAGGAGGTGGTGTAATTCCCCCCCAAAAAAGAGGATCAGTCCCACAGGAGGGAGATGGATTTGAGATACGAAGCACTCGCATCTCAAAGCAACTGTCAAAATCCATTTCTACAAATGGATTTCCAGACGCTCAGGCTCTATTCACAGCAACAAGAGAATTGTTGTTGTGACCTCGTTGACTACAAGGTGCAATCCCATTGAGCAGCTTGTACCCCCCCGCTCTCTGTGTTTACTGCCCCCTTCACTTCCTTGGAATAATGCAGCAGCATATCTGACAGTGGTAAAACACTCATCCGTTTTCCTGCAATGGATTTACCCGGTTCATGTTAAGTGACGTGGATTAGCAGCCAGATAAATCATTGTTCTTGATATTAGTCTGCAAAGTGCACAATGCTCTCATCTGCTACTCTGGATTTACTCACACACATCACACACACTCTTCTATCTTAGTGAGGACACTCAACACAGTCTGTAGCCCCCTAAACCTTAACCATCAGGCGAATTCATAGTTTCCATAGTTTCCCTGTCCACCAGTCCCAACCCTCCAACAGCCCGTTGAAAGTGGGTCAGGAAGTGAGCACTGGCCAAAATGTCCTGGATTTCCCAAAATGTCCTCACATCATGAAGACAGATTCATAGTTTCCACATGTGCCAGTCCACGTGACTTCACTGACTGAACCAGGTTTAATAAATCCACCTCCTGGAATGCAGTGTGGGATCAGGTGCACATAGACAGACAGACTGATTTAAGTATGAATGGAGCCGTGGGCTTGTACGTGTGACTGCATGGAATCCGGACAATATGGCCAACCCTTATCTTTACACTAAACCTAATTCCAACCCGAAACTAACTTAGACCCATCGAAAGGGCGTCAGAAAGAGAGGAGCAGCCATGACCTCACTCTGCAACATCTTTTTAAAGGTCCACACAGAAACAAGTTGATTTTTTTTCAGAATCAACAAAGTAGAATTATTTGTTTCAAGGTCTGATGAATCCAGACTAAAGAGTATTTTGAGGTAATCTGGAGATAATACTATGATGTTTGTTGGCCACAGTCATCATCGCATAAAAATGAACTAACACACACACACACACACACACACACACACACACACACACACACACACACACACACACACACACACACACACACACACACACACCTGACCCTGCTTATATTTGAAGGAGAACATGCACAGAACAGCAGATCAAGTCTGTTGGTGGTGATTCTTGGGTTCATCCACACACTGACAGGTCGCAGCGCTGAAAACAAAAGCACCCAGAGTCAAACCTCCCACAGGAAGTTTACACTCCTCACTGGAGTCCGGCACCAACTCACACAGCAGAGGTCAAACACTGAGCAGCGGATGGATCCTGCAGAACCATTCATTCACTTTCATTTCCAACACCAGCGTCCGCTCGGCTGCAGGAGAACGCGCAATTAGTGGCTCCGGGGAGGCGCACGGACACGAGACACAGAAATTCATTGTGAGCACCTACCGGCGTCTGTCTCCCTGGCCGCGACGACGCACCTTGCTGCCCGGACACCACGCTCCGTCCTCTCTTCTCCTTCCTCTCCGCTCCGCACCGCGCGGCTGAGCCTCCGCTGCTCTGCGCCGTGCGCTCCAGGAGGTGGGAGGAGAGGAGCCGGCCAATCAGCGGCCACATGACGGGGCGATGGAGGAGAGCAGCCAATCGAGTCCGCGGCCGAGCATGATGCTGCTTCTTGCTTTAACTTTGGTGGGGGGGGGGCGACTGTCTGTCAGGTCATGGCCGAGCGAGGTGATGGCATCTGGGCCAAATTAAAGCCATGTCCCGGTGAAACTGTGAGGGAGGGATGAGAGGGGGGATGAGAGGAGGACGCTTATTAAATTAGATTTTAATGCAACATGTCAATATGATTTCACTGAAATAATTACAGTTGGTCCAGTTTATAGGTTATTTAACATCCATCCATCATCCACTACCTACAGCAGATTGAATGTATTTAATTGAACTGATGGAAGGATGGACAACAAAGATTCCCATTCTATTCTGTTCAGTGTAAAGATATGTTCCTAACATGAGTCAAAGTTTGAGCAGGTCTTCAGGAGTAACACACATGGAGTTCCCTTCTGACCTGAGGGTTACAGGCGGACTTTATTTTACTGTGGAGCAGCTGGAGAAGCTTCACTAACTATTTCCACCTCTGTGCCGTCAAAGAAAACACAATGCTGCTCTCTTCATTAGCCATTAGCGTCTGTCACACACCGGAACTCAGTACCCTCAAGCCGCAGAGCTCGGTTTACCCGTCATCACGGTGTCCTGGCGGTGCGTCACAACCCGAGACGTCCTCTGCTCCGTGACACCGAATCCCAGGTTCTGGAAAACTCCCTGGCTCTCGGCCCACGACTCCTGGAAGCTCCTCAGCTGCTCCTCGGTGGAGGCCTCGTCGGCGTAGGACCGCCGGTTGCCGCGGGTCACGGAGTTCCCAGAGTGCATCTCGCTACTCGTGTCCGTCGACATGATCCGGCGTCATCGATGCTGCAGAACCTCTTTATATACAGTCTATGTGCAGAACTGGTCGGTGACCGAGCGGCTCGGGAAAGGTCCGTGTGACTCCCCAGCTCTCTGCGATCACGATAGGTTCCTCTCTGACGTGTGGGAAGAGGGTCTACCTCATGAATCACTGATCGCAGACAAACACAACTGATGTTCTGACCATCAAAACATGGAAACCATCAAGAATCTCCGTCATGTGTTCCCTGTGTGTTTGGATGGACAGCTTGTCTGGGTTCATAACTGCTTGAGATAAACTAATTGAATGTGCTTTGAACTGTTAGGAACGTTACAGGGGAACAAACAGCCCAATTAAAAAGATGCCAAACAGCATATCAGTAAAGGAAACTGAATTATTGATCGTGCAACATTTTTCACCAACTGAAAGGAAGTGTTGGCATGACCGACACTAAAGTACAGTTTTTCTGCTGCTGTTATTAACATTGCAGTTTTTCCTCTTTGCAGCCAATTACACTGTGTGTTCAAGCTGCAACTGAGACGAGGGAGAAGAATCTGTCAGAGGTGACAAAAGCCACCTAATGGAAAAATCTGTAATTCCTACAACGGGCCTTCTCAATCAGTGAAAATCAATAAGCCTTTTTGCCAAAGAGATCCGAGCTGAACTGTGTTATCTAGGTAGGCGATACATCAAGCTGGCCAGCTACACAAAGGGGACACGGTTAAGTACCATCACTGCTGCCTGCTCCTGCGTGCGCTCATTGATTAAAAAGTCGTACGCCGTCGAGTTCATGAAGCTTTATTTCAGGACAATCCAGAAATGAAAAAAACCCTCTTTATTCTGACACAAAACCAAAGCCAACAGCCACTCGTCCGAAGACAAACAGAGTTAATGCAAGTTTTTCAAAATAAAGCTCTGTTTTGGTCGGTCAGCAAAAATATAGATATGCATACCAAGAGACATACAAATATTCAATTTCTCTGCACGCCAGGTGCATTCATCAAACAAAGCTAGATATAGAATAAAAGAGCAGAATTTTAAAACAGTACAAAAACACTAAATTAAAACAGAGCAGTTCATCTCTCCATGGACACTGATGTGAAATTATCTGATCAACCCATCCTGGTTATTAAAGGGCTGAATTCAAGAGTCGTCGCTGTCGTCGTCATAGTATCTGTTCCTCTTGATCTGCTCCTCCACTGTGAGACCTTCATCTTCATCGTCCTGGCCTGTGTCGCTCTCATCTTTTCCTCTCGCTCCTTCCGCTTCATCCACGCTTCCTCTCGCTTCTATCCCGAAATCCAAAAGGTCATCCAGCGCCGACAACGCACGCATCTCCCCGGCGGGTTGACCGAAGGCGTCAGATTTGAAATCCGATAGCAGGCCGGAGCTGCTGGTGCTCAGGACGGCGAAGATGTCCTCGAGGAAGCTGGATGTGCTGATCTTTGGCTCAGCGGCCTCCTGTCTGAAAGCAAACGCTCCCCCGGCTGTCTCTGTGAAGAAGTTAGTGTCTAAGTGGTCTGTGGCGTCAGCGCATTTGGCACCCGCTGTCAGGAAAGCATCATCCCTCTGTGCCAGTTGCAACACTTCACTTGGCATCCAGTGGGATTCCTCACAGTGATCAGCTCGGAAGAAATCTGTCGTTGGAGTTGGATCCATCAAAAAGAGCGACTGGTTTTCCTCGTCCTCACTCAGCTCTTTAAACAGAATTTCCTGCGTCTGGACATTATTATTGTTATTATTGTTGCCGTTTGCATTCAGCGCCTGTTCCGTCGTCGCCTCCTCATCTACTAACGTCACCTTTGAGGCCTCTAAATTGCTCATTCCATCATTTCTTCCTTTATCTACTTCCTTCCCACTCTCCATCTGCCCCTCGTCTCCATTCACTTTCACTTCCTCCACCTTTTCTCCACGTTCCTCCTCCTTCTCTTCCACAGCTCCATTCCCTTTGCTTTGTTCTGTCTCTGCCACTCCAGGGTGCATTTCAGAGTCCGCTTGTGCCCCGGCCTCAGGACCACTGTTTGATTCTTTCGTTTCTTGAGTGTGAGCAACACTCAGCGGTTCCTCTGTGACCGCTGCAGGGGAAGCTGGGGTTTCTTCAGACTTTTTCACGCTCTCTAATAAACAGCCACTCTCATGCGCTTTGTCATTTTCCGGGGGTCCATTTTGTGCTTGAGCTGCAGGAATATCATCCTCTTTAAATGAAGGTTTCTCAGGTGGATTCAGGAGGTGGTTCTCCTGAGCTGAGTCTTCCTTTGGGGGCCATGGCGGCTTCACCAACTTCAACTCCTCTTCCACGGTGAAAGCTTTCTTCGGTGAATCAGTTTGCGGAGGCCACACGACAGAAATCTTACTCGTGAGCTTTTTGTCTTCATCCACAGATTTTCTTGTATCACAATCATGAGTAGCTAATGTGCCCTGAGCCGCAGAACATCCGGAATCCACGATGTTCTTCTCAGGTGATTTGACTTTTTCAGCTGGATTCTGCTGCTGGTTTTTATTATTCCATAGTTCTTTGTGTGGTTTCTGTCCAAATCCCTCATCATAGTTTCCTTTGGACTTAAACAATTGCTTGTAGTGTGGTTTGCAGTACATTCGTCCATGGAGAGAGGCGTAGGTGCCAAGGCTATGAAAATAAGAAGAGAAAAACAACAGTTTAAAATAGAACATGAAACGATGAGGATGCTTTGTGCTCTTGTTGTTGAAGTTGCTTCACCTTAGTTTGCCTCTGCAGTGTTCACAACGAAAGCAGTTTTTATGGAAGTTGTGTTTGTCTGCGATCAGCGACTCCATGGGGTAGACCCTCTTCCGACACGACCTGCACACTTCGGACTCTGGAATTCGAATTTTCTGCAAAAGAAAAAGGTTTATAAATCGACTGTGATTTCCTTTTTATCTCCCAGGAACAAGGTCATTAGGTGCAAATGATGAAGAGAAAACAAACAATCAATTGGTGCATTTAATTACTAATGTATCCCAGAGCAGTGGTGGTCTGAGCGTTAAACATGCAGGCTCCCTCAACATTAGTGTGGACATGACAGTGACTTTTACCTCACATATCATTTGATTAGACAATAATGATAGGGGCCTTGAGAGAAATAAAGAAAAACACAGCAAAATAAATTTAGAAAAGTCAGTAAAATCAGAGACATGTAGTGTGAGAGTAACACAAATAGTATCAGCAGACCCAGTGAGGCAGCAATATCCTGACTGTGATTCAATATACTCACATTATAATTGATAATTTCCTTAATGTCATGCCAGTCATGTTAAAATCTTACATAAAATAAAATAAATTAAATTAAAAAGCTGGATGTATCAACACAGTCCTCATCCTTCAAAATGTAAGACTGTAATTAGTGTCAGTATCAGTTTGTAAAAGCTTTGCAAATTCACTTATCACTATGTTTTAAAACCTTCCTTCACTTTGGAAATCATTTGCTGGCAAACTCTGTGCTGACTGAAGAGTTAAAATTTAATCAAAGTATTGTTTCCTTCCAGCTGGAGACATTTCAACCAGTCCTCTGCTGCTGCTGCTGCTGCTGCTGAAGGGAACACAGGATCAAACACCCCAGCAAGAGACATATTAGTTCAACATGTTAGCAGCAGCTTCACACATCAGAGGATAAACAGGACAAAGTTTAACCTGTGAAAGTTAAAAGAGGTTAAAACTCCTGGAGCCGTT